GTTTGTGTTCGCATTTTTGGCTTTGGTCTGTAGGTGTAGTTGTTCTTCTAAAGGTGGTGTGTACATACATGGTATGACCTTGTCTCGCACTGGTTTGACATACGTTTCACAACTAACGGTGGGTTGATGGGCTTGCCACATAAGGCACGGCACTCTGCATCAGTGTGAGTGCCTTTACTTAGTTGTCGATAACATGATTTTACGAAAGTGTGAATCTCAATTAGAAACTATTTATATATATGCCGTTTTAATAATGTCTCTACTAGAAATCAATTGCGCTAGGAATGTGATCTTCGATGCATTAATATATTTTACCCGGAACCCTTGTGTTATGCAATGTTGCATCGTGTTTACAATTTTGTTTGCGTTGCGTGTAGTCAGTCAACGTGCTGTGTAAGTCTGTTTATAGTTGATGAACAGTGGGTTGTGAATAAACAGTGTTTCATACAAAGCTATATAAACCACAGCTTCAATGGTTTTGTTTTTATTTTCTATAAATATGCATTTACCGTAATAATGCCATCGTTCGCCAGCTTCTGTCAAGCATCATCGTTGGGCATCTTTCACACAGAATCTTCTCGGTGGCGGTGTCTAGTGATTCCAGTATCAACCTGAACATCACCTAGCATCGTCCAGACGAGCTCCACCAGAGCTTCATCCTCATCAACGTGTGTTCCTCCTCCACCTCGCCGCCTCAGCTCACTCTCTGAAACACCTCGCTCCTCTGTTCCTCCTCCGCCTCGCCGCCTCAGCTCACTCTCTGAAACACCTCGCTCCTCTGTTCCTCCTCCGCCTCACCTCAGCTCACGCTCTGAAACACCTCGCTCCTCTGTTCCTCCTCCGCCTCGCCTCAGCTCACGCTCTGAAACACCTCGCTCCTCCGTTCCTCCTCCACCTCGCCTCAGCTCACGCTCTGAAACACCTCGCTCCTCCGTTCCTCCTCCGCCTCACCTCAACTCACGCTCTGAAACACTTCGCTCCACGCCGCCTCGAGCCCCAGCTCGACGAGGGGAGCTCGCAGCATCTCGGCCGTGGCTTCCTCCTCGTTCTCCATCCAGATCTGCAGCATCTTCTGCGCCTGCTCGCTCGCGTCCCGTGTGTCGCTCTCAAAGTACACGATCTCGTCCGCCTGGAACTTGAGCAGCGCTGCGAGCCGCTGCCAGATGGCGCTCACCTTCGCGGCAAGCGCGACGAGCTGCTCCTTGCTGATCACCTCGCCCTGCTCCTCCGACTCTGCAACGAAGCAAGAAGCCATGCTGCTGAAGCGATCGAGACGAAAGACGAGATAAGACAAGACGAGAGACAAGACAAGACGACTACACATAACTGCTCACTAAGCATACAAATAGCACTCGTCTCGCTTGTTATTTAGAAACTTTTACATCTATATTACATAGCAACATATACAAGTTTATTATACTTGTTATTATTGTATTTATTACACTTGAGTGAGTAAATTAAGACATAAATCAGTGATTTTTGTCTATTTAATGCCTACAGTATCCAGTGCATATCACGTACATACTTATGCCAATATCATTAACATAATTCTCAGGTCATGTAATAGTTCCCCTTACCCTTCTTGCTCTGCTCAGAGGAGGCCTCATCCCGGAACTCCTCTGTCTCTTCCTCCTCTAGCTGGGAGTGCTCCTCATCCACATCCCCATCTGCTCCTGGCTTCATGTCGTGGTGCGACTGTTTACATATAGGAGAGAAATACCTTTCGCAAATGCGTGTACCAACTGCCAACGGTTTGCCTTTAGTGCAACCAAAACGAAGCAAGAATAGCCAAGAGGCCAAATAACGTGATAGGCATTCTGTTGGGGATTCTAATGAGGACTGTGCAACGCGCAAGTTACCAGAACAATTCAGTGAATACAATATTTCTAGTATATGCGTAGATATATAGTACAGAACGATAAAGTATATGTATACTATATATCAGGGTTCATAGTAGTAAGACACATGTTGAAATAAGGACTTATAAGAACCTTTCTGGAGGCCAAAATAAGACTTTTTTTACGCGATTTCTGATAGATCACCGACTATTAAAGTACACTAATAATATTTATATACACAATTGCACAGCAG